CGTTAATTAATAACAACTTGCAGCCTGAGCATTTTGTGGATGCTTCTGAACAATGAAATCAAGATCGAGTTGTGAATGATTCTTGAGCCAGGAGAAGGGGAAGGGGGATGGTTTTTTATAACAGCTACTCTTGCTGCTAATGCACGACCAGCTCTACTCTTTGATAATTGGAATGTAGAAACTGCCTCAACAGACCAGGCAAATTGTAGAGGTACTGGATCCTGTCTCTGGCAGTGTCCTCTGCATGATGTTTCAGATAAAGGCAACCTCCCCACCTTTGAATGTATCTATGTGCTCAGTTGTGCAATGCTGTATGTGGGAAGAAAAATTCCTTCTGGACAACTTTTGACCAGCCTATACACCAAGGACTAGACTCCGCTGTACCATTGATTTTGATGGGGTTATTGTCATTGACTTCAGTGGCAGCAGGACTAAGCCGTAAAGCATGAGGACTGGTAAGCCTGTAACTTCAGAACACCTAGTGGAACTGCAAATGTTACTCCTGTGCATCATAAATTGTGGTTTTGAATTTTACTGAATTAGTTTTATAATACCCTGCAGCAGTGAGTTTCACAGGTTAATGCTTCCCTTGTGTAAAAAAGTCTGCCCTTGTATCTGTATGAAATGTGTTGCCTTCCTTGCCCTTATAGGAGGGGGAAGGGAAGGGGAGTTCTCCGCTGGCCTTCTCTGAACCATTCATTATTTCCTGTTTCTCCAGCAAATCACTTCTGGCTCTTCTCCCTCCAAATTAATAGGCCATGGCCCTGCCTATAAGAGGGCTGCTTGTAATAGTGGCTTAAAATAATTTTATTCTATTTTTGGATCACAGCTTTTCTCCCTTGCCGTTAGCATCTCTCCTTTCATTATTATGTATCTCTGTAATTACTGAGCCCTGCAAAGCGCTCTGGGATACAGTTTGCACCCCAGGAAAGGCATTAGACAAAATAAAGCTGTATCCTTTTTTTAAAAAAGGATTATTTAGAGCATCCTCATGCTATCGTTAGTTAGGAGCATTCTGCAAGAGGGAAAACAGAAGTGATTTTAACATCAAGTGAAATGGACATCACATGTGACTCACAGGCATCCAGTGCTAATGATGTTAAACTGGCTAAGTCTTGGGCATGTTGAAATGGGCATAGCCAAGCAGCATTTTAGAGTAACTAACTGAGATTTCCATATGTGACTGTCCAGGCCGTCAGCTAGACTTAGCCAGATTTTGGGGTCATTTTGGGAGCCTTCCATATTAGGGTAAAAGTCACTCAAATATTAGAGCTTCTAGGCTGCAAACTATTCCATATGTGGGAAGTATGTAGTTATTAGGGCTGTCGATTAATCGCAGTTAACTCACGCGATTAATTTTTTTGAGTTAATCACGATAAAAAAATTAATCACGATTAATTGCAGTTTTAACTGCACTGTTAAACAATAGAATACCAACTGAAATTTATTAAATATTTTGGATATTTTTCTACATTTTCATATATATTGTATTCTGTGTTGTAATTGAAATCAAAGTGTATATTATTCTTGATTACAAATATTTGCACTGTGAAAGATAAACAAAAGAAATAGTATTTTTCAATTCACTTCATACAAGTACTGTAATGCAATCTTGGTGTGGTGAAAGTGCAATTTACAAGTGTAGATTATTTTTGTTACATAACTGCACTCAAAACCAAAACAATGTAAAACTTCAGAGCCTACAAGTCCACTCAGTCCTACTTCTTATTCAGCCAATCACTAAGACAAACAAGTTTGTTTACAGTTACATGAGATAATGCTGCCCTCTTCTTATTTACAATGTCATCAGAAAGTGAGAACAGGCATTTGCATGGCACTTTGTAAAACAGCATTGTAAGGTATTTACGTGCCAGATATGCTAAACATTCATCTGCCCCTTCATGCTTCGGCCACCATTCCAGAGGACATGCTTCCATGCTGACGACGCTCGTTAAAAAAATAATGCGCTGTTTTACCCCCATTCTGCCATATATTTCATGTTATAGCAGTCTCAAATGATGACTCAGCACATATTGTTCATTTTAAGAACACTTTCACTGCAGATCTGACAAAACGCAAAGAAGGTACCAATGTGAGATTTCGAAAGATAGCTACAGCACTCGACCCAAGGTTTAGGAATCTGAAGTGCCTTCCAAAATCTGAGAGCGACGAGGTGTGGAGCATGCTTTCAAAAGTCTTAAAAGAGCAACACTCTGATGAGGAAACTACAGAACCCAAACCACCAAAAAAGAAAATCAACCTTCTGCTGGTGGCATCTGACTCAGATGATGAAAATGAACATGCATCGGTCCGCTCTACTTTGGATCCTTATCAAGCAGAACCTGTCATCAGCATGGACGCATATATTCTGGAATGATGGTTGAAGCATGAAGGGACATATGAATCTTTAGCGTATCCGGCACGTAAATATCTTGCGATGCCAGCTACAACAGTGCCATGTGAACGCCTGTTCTCACTTTCAGGTGACATTGTAAACAAGAAGAGGGCAGCATTATCTCCTGCAAATGTAAACAAACTTGTTTGTCTGAGCGATTGGCTGAACAAGAAGTAGGACTGAGCGGACTTACAGGCTCTAAAGCTTTACATTGTTTTATTTTTGGATGCAGTTATTTTTTGTACATAATTCTACATTTGTAAATTCAACTTTCATGATAAAGAGATTGCACTACAATACTTGTATTAGGTGAATTGAAAAATACTATTTCTTTTGTTTTTTTACAGTGCAAGTACTTGTAATCAAAAATAAATATAAAGTGAGCACTGTACACTTTGTATTCTGTGTTATAATTGAAACCAATATATTTGAAAATGTAGAAAACATCCAAAAATATTTAAATAAATGGTATTCTATTATTGTTTAATAGTGCGATTAACTGCAATTAATTTTTTTAATCGCTTGACAGCCCTAGTAGTTATATAGTTTTATTTCCAAAATATGACCATGTAGAGCATGATTTGCAAACCCATGAGCACACGATTAATGTGTATCGCCAGGGAGAGCCCCTGGATGCATGCTGCAAAGTTCAGGTCCATGTTTGGATTTCCAGTACTTACAAATGCAGCAAGAGGTTTGAATCTAGAGCTTTGATTTGGGCCCATTTCTACCTGGATCTGTTCACCAGGACACTAAAGAGAATTGCTCTGCTGCTGTTGTGGATGGATGGAGTGGATGACGCAACGTAAGGTGCTTCGGATGCTTATTTGAACCAAAGTTCTGAGCCTCAGATCCAGCTAAGCTGTGGTCAGAAAAGGGCCTGCACTAATGGTGGCTTCATAAGCCTGCACACAGCCAGTACACCTGCCTCAGTTTCCCTTCCATTTGCCCATAGCTAGGAATATCGTCTCTCTCAATGTCCAATTCAAAGGCCAGTTTCTGGGCATAATGTATGCATGTACAGTAATCCTGACAAAACCATTCTCCCCAAACCCCAAAGCACAGCAGGTACAAACACAGCAGTTTTCCCATTCCCCCTTCCAGGGTCATCACTTCCAGGTCACCCACCTGAGAGTCCAGTCTGTTCCCAGTTCCTTTGCCCTTGTTCCAGGGTCCCACTCGCCAGGCCATCAGGTCATTCTGTCCCATGACTCTGCTATCACAGCCAAGTCTATTCTCCCACAAGAGAGCTCCCTCCAGGGCTCCACTCAGATCTCTCTACTTCTCTCCCCTTCTCCTGGGATCTGCCCTCCAGCATCAAACCTCTCAATTTGGGATCAGCTTGCCCTGACCAAGCTCTGCCCAGGGGCCTCTGCAGGAAGAATCTGGGCCAGTCCTCCTCCACAGCTCCCTGGGCCGGCTCGCCTCACCTGTAGCTCTGTCTCCCAGGTCTCCTGTAGCTCTCTCCCAGTAACACTTGCCACTGCTCCTCTCTGTGTCTGGCAGTTCTCCCCTACTACTTCCTGCCTCCTTCACAGGCCGCTCACTCTAGCTCTTCCTGTCTCCTTCCCTAGGGCCCGGCTGCCCTCTTTTAAGCCCAGTTGGGAGGCATCTGACCGAGTCACACAGCTGCACTAACCTCTTCCCTCATAAGGGGGCCAGGGCCAACGGACAATCACTTCTGCATTCCTCCAGGCCCCAGGGCTGTCAGGGACCAGGTCTGTTGTAAATTACAGCAGCCTCGGGGCTGTTCTAACTCCCAGCTGGTAACAGATCACAAGTTAGGTCAACTGGAAGCAGCAGAGTGCTCCAGCCTTGCCCACTCCCCCAGGCACATGCCTACGGCATCTCCTATACTGAGGATAGTTGGGGAGGATGGGATGAAGCTACTCAGTTAGGGTAGCTTTATGGCCTCTGTTCAGGAGCCAGATGCTAGCTGCAAACCTCTAAGATATCATCCCATGGCAATCAGCCATGTAACTCTCCAGAAATATCACCCACATTTGAATCATGAAGAAACAGTACAAATGAATCCCCCCCTGCCAACATTCACTCACGCACATACACACACACTTTTTGAGGTTTCTTGTATGTCACTGATAAGAGTCAGCTATGTCTCCATTGGCTGATTTCAGATGGGAGATGTTCCCAGCATCAGCATTAGGGATATGACCGTAGCTGAAACCTGCTTAGATACCATCATATCTTTCTTGGTCATTCTTGGGACTCAGCAATAAAAAAAATAATAATTCAACGGTAAAACAGGGAACTGAAAGATAAAGATCAAGTATGTAAATTACTCCCCCTTCCCTTTGCGTCTTTGTGACCATGTATCCAGCTATTGACATCTTCAGCTCGCTTAGATCCCAGTCCAAGTTGGTGCAAGATGCCAGTCTGGGATCTCTCTCTGCCTTCCCCAGGTGACAGTGTGAGCTGACGGAGCACCAGCATCCACAATGTCCCATTGACTTCAATGACAATTGTGGGACTGGACTGTGGGCAAAGGTCTAGAACTCTGCATGATGATCTGGCAGTATCTGGTGGGATGCTCACTGACTGGCCGGTCTTTGCTTTGCTTTGGCAGCGTCAGCCCAGCGAGCGTGGTGCGGAGGAAGAAGAGGAGGAGGAGAAAGACATGGCCTCCACTATCCTGGAAAGCATCTTCCTGAAGCGCTCACAGCAGAAGAAGAAAACTTCTCCTCTCAACTTCAAGAAGCGTCTCTTCCTCCTGACGGAAAGCAAGCTCTCCTACTACGAGTATGACTTTGAGCGTGGGGTGAGTCCAAGGGCCTAGAGCAAAGCAGGGGACATTGCTAATGGGGCAAGGGAGGCTCTGCAAAAGAGTTAGCCCCACCAGGGTCTGATCCCCTGCTGGAAGACTAAGGTCTGGTCTATACTACCCGCCTGAATCGGCGGGTAGAAATCGACCTCTCGGGGATCGATTTATCGCGTCCCGTCGGGACGCGACAATCGATCCCCGAATCGGCGCTCTAACTCCACCAGGGGAGGTGGTAGTAAGCGCCGCCGACAAAAAGCCGCAGAAGTCGATTTTGCCGCCGTCCTCACAACGAGGTAAGTCGGCTGTGATACGTCGAATTCAGCTACGCTATTCACGTAGCTGAATTTGCGTATCTTAAATCGACTCCCCCCTGTAGTGTAGATGTAGCCACAGAAACACTCTTTCCCTGGGTCAAGCAATGACTCCCAGTGGCAGCAGGCCAGGAGTGCGGAGGGTGCTCGGGGGGATAGAGGTGAGGGGGAAGGGAAATGTATGGGTCTGAGGTTTGACGTAGTCACTGTGCACTGTGTGTCAGTACATCCTGTTCACGCAGAGACGGAGACTGGGGTAACAGTCCAGGCTGGTGCCTAGAGATTAACCCTGCAGCCAGCTTGGGTGCAGATCAGACTCCAAGCTTAGTGGCTGGCCCCTTTCTCTCTGTATAATGGGAACCCCCCTCCCCTCTCCTCCTCCTCCCCCTCCTCCTCCTCCTCCTAAACTGGGGAAGCTTGGATCCCAGATGCTGATCCACACCCAAACTTTGCAGCTCACATCCCTCTGTAGTGCCATGGGGTTGCAACAGAGTCTAGGAGCTGACAGCTGCCTTCCCTGCTCACCAGGGTAAAAGAGCATGTGCCCTGCCAGGCATTTATTCCTAGAGCAGTTTCTCAGGAGACTGCCAATACGGCTCAGAGCCCAACATCCCAGGATCTCCAGGGGAACCTGCTGGTACCTTGTGATGGCTCCAGGAACCGCTGGAGAGGAGTATCAGGCTCTGGGCTAAATCCTGCCCTCGGATGCTGAAGTCAGTGGGAGTTACGTGTAGGTGTCTGGGGGCAGTGTCTGTGCTGAATTCTGGGGGTCTGAATCGTGGGGGTCTCATCTCCCTCCCCTTCCCCCCAATTCCTCTCCCTTGTTCTCTCTTGCAGCGACGAGGCAGTAAGAAGGGGTCTGTGGACATTGAGAAAATCACCTGTGTGGAGACGGTGGTTCCAGAGAATAATCCTCCCCAGGAGCGGCAGGTGCCGGTAAGAAAGGAACATGTCCCCATTGCTGACATTGCCCCCCTCCTCCCATCCCCAGCGCTTCCTCCCAGCCCAGCTGTCCCTGACAGGAACACAGGCCAACGGCAGCCCTTCTCCCCACCATACCTGCAGGGTGTGCCCAGCCCCTGTGGGGAGATTCCTGCCCCAGTTCTTCCTGGAAAGGGAGTCAAGTCCTATGCCAGCCCCCCAAGAACTGGCTGCAGTTCCTCTGGGGAATTAAGGTGGGGGCTTCTGGCTGCAGGCCCCTAAGGAAATAGGGGGCAAGGACTTTTCCAGTCCCCTTGGGGCATTGGTGGGGGGGTTCCCTGATTCAATCCTCTGGGAATGGGGGAGCTTCCCACTCCATTTCCAGATGGGCATTTGGAAGTTGCACTCTAGTCATCTGGGCACACTGGCCCCCACTGCATGGCTGTTAACCCTGTTGCTCTGTCATGCCAGATGGCATGTTAGGTAGAGCATACGCCAGAAGCAAGTACTGGTGTAGGGGGTAACTGCTGGCTGCTTTCCCAATCTCATGGGCCTCTTCCAGCCCTGATGCCTGGAGTAGCAGAGGCAGGGGAGCAGGCTTTGGGTTTGTCTGTCTACTGTTAGCTTCCATACTGGCCCAAAGGCCTCGTTCTGAGATCCCTTGTTGCCCGGGCAATGGGCAGGCTGCAGAATGGATGCGGCTCTGTGTGCTCTGACATGCCAGAGGGTGGCGAAAGGCTGTAGCAGATTAAGATCCCAAATCCCCAAAGACCGGGGAGCTGCCCGTATTACAAAGCGCTGATATCCAGAGCCATAGAGCACACAGCAAATTCATTGTACAGCACTGATCTGTGGAGCCAACAGGACACTGTGCACATCCACGCTAAGGGGCTGGTACTTGGGTACTGCAGGCACTGGTAGCGATGCTCCAGACTATAAATCCACCTTCTCTGTCTGTCTCTTGCAGAGAAAGGGGGAGGATTACAATGAGATGGAGCAGATCTCGATCATAGAGCGGTTCCCATACCCCTTCCAGGTGAGTCACTCTTCCCCTCAGCTCCCACTGGGGCTGGCTGCAATGAGCTCAGGCTTGCTTTGCATGAGGAGAAGGCAGCAGGGATGGGGTGGAGGGTAGGGCTGGTGTTCCTATGCTTTGCTGTACTAGGATCACATGCAGGGTGCTGTGCTTAATCCACTTTGAAAGTGGGGTAAGCTAACCAGGAACACTGCACTCTTACTCCAGAATCAGAGTGCCCACACTGGGTGCTAATCTGGGATAGCTATTATGCTTTGCATTCGCACCCAACCTTAATCTGAATTAACTGTCAAGTGTAGACAAGCCCTTAGTCCCTCAACTTCACATTTGTACAATGGGGATAATGGGACTGCCCTACCTCACAGGGGTGTTGTGAGGGTAAATACAGTAAGGGACTGGGAGGTGCTCAGACACTGCGGGGACCAAATAAAAACTAGATGTTGATGTGAAACCGGTGGGTATGTACTTGGCACAGCTCAGCCTGCTGCCACCTGTGCTACTGCGGCAACGCTATTTATACTCACTCTAGCTCAACGAGCTCGTACACCCCAGCTCATAGTGTGGACATAGCCTTTGTTTCTATTATATAGTGTTGCTTATACAGTAACTTTCTCACCGTTTTACTGTGCTGGCTGTAATGTGGTAGGTACATTGGTGTCTGAGCCAGGGTGAATATCTGGGCCTAAGGTGCACCATTTGAATCCAGATCCAAACTTTCCCCAAATTTCAGATCCAGGGTTTTGGTTCTACCCACAAGAGAACCTGGGGTCTGCTGCAGAGTTTGGATCTGGGGGTGTTCAGATCTGCGGATTTGATTCAGGCCCATCTCCAATATCTTGGTTAGCTGGTTAGCTACAAACGGACACAGTTTTCTGGATTCTAGTTCTGGAGACTTAAAGACATTTTGCTCTTTGTGGACTGAATTCCGTATGAATCTCCCCTCCTTAGCCCATCTCTGATCCAGTCATAATCTGCAACTGGGCCCCATAAACTCCCTGCCCATTCTCTGCTTGTCTGAGTCCCGTTTGGTGAACAAAGCAGCCCCTGACATATTGAAAGTCAAAGGAGGAAGTGGAAAGTCTTGGGGGAGGGGGCTTATTTATAACCTCCTGGTCACAGTCTCATAAGCACAGCAAAGGGGCCAGAACAAAATTAAAGGGGTTATGCTCTGCAGCAAAAGGTTAAAGGCCTCAGACCCCACCTTCTCCCCTGGCTGCTCTGGAGAGCATAAGCCTGTTTGTCCCACAGGTGGTGTATGATGAAGGACCCCTCTACGTCTTCTCCCCGACAGAGGAGTTACGCAAACGCTGGATTCACCAGCTGAAGAACGGTGAGTCTCTGGCTTTTACAATGAAACTTTTTTAAAAATCTTGCACGGGGCAAGGCAGGTGTCTGTATTCCGCACCGGGCAATGACATCAGCTTTGGGCTAGAATCATCATAATTTCATTTGAGACGGGACCATATTGCAATGACGCAGTGTAGCGAGGCTGTAACACTTGTGGGCAGCTGAAATCTGATGGAGCTGTGTGTGTGGGTGGGCTTGTGTGTGAGGGGGGAGATTAGCTGTCTGAAATGACACAGGGAAGTTCACACATGCAAGCCGGAAGGATGTCAGTCTGATAACGGGGAAGTCAGTTATTGCATGACAAACCCCATCTTCTTAAACAGCAGGCATTTAGCAAAGCCTGTAGCTCAGATCAGCTCTTCAGCTGGGTGACAGTGCTGTGTTCACACTATTCTGCCTGGATCCTGCCACTTACTTCCACTCTGTCTGGCAGTGTGCCCTGGTCTCCCCATTAACCATACCCCTGCATCGGCTGTGCCTTCAGCTCTCCACCCTGCAGCGCTTAATGTCACTCCTCATCAGCCGCTGCCTTCAGAGGCCAAACTCAGCCCAGAATAACAGAGCTCTGGTTGCCCATCAAGTGCCACACACTGACATGAACCCAGGGCTGCTGCTAGAGAACATGTGGACTAGCCGGTTCTGGCTCCTGGGAGAGGAGGGAGTGTCTCTCCAGTGAGGGGTGGTGCTGTGCTGCAGTGTAGTGCTGGAGAACCACCTGTGACAGTTTGCCATGACAGTCATGGAACCTTGCGTGTGGGGATATCAGTGCATCTGATGCCTAGTAACAAGGACAGAACAGCTGCTTTAGTACCTGGTCCTGGGGGATCTCTGAATCAGGAGAGGCTCCCGAACAGGCAGGCAAAGTGAGACCCGCACAAGGAGGGAGTACAATTAACATTTCCAGTGCCACCACACAGAGTGTAGCAGCCTCCTTTGCCCTGGGTGTGTCTCCAGATCCAGAGCTGATCTTCCTCAGCTCACGGGAGTTTCCAGCTGCAGGGCTGGAGTGGGCCCATTTGGGAGAAAAGAGGCAGCTTTCAGAATTAACCATCCATAGTCGCTTTCCACACAGCAGTTCTTTGGAAAGGCAACAGGCCAGTACAGTTGCAAGGAGCTGTGCAAGGAGAGTGATGGCTTTACAAAGTTTGAGTTAGGGGCCCCCTTCTCTCCCTTGCTCTGGGCTAAAGGAGGAAGGGGTTTGCCAGAGGCAGGATGTAATTACACAGAGTCAGGCCCACAGTGCGATTGTGCAGCAGCTGGCTACAAGCTGCTCTCATTGACTCCAGGGGGAGTTGCTCACAGGCTGTGCTGCATAATCATGTCCTTGGGGTGTTTGGCTCATCAGAGCAAAACGCTGAAACTTCCCAGCCTGTTTGTGCATTTCTATTTTAATGCATGGGCATCACCCTAGCCCAGCCTCTTGCTGCTTGGACGCCTGGGGCCAGAACCTCAGGCCTGGCCATTTGGCATCTGGAACCATTCAGGGAAGGGGAGCCACAAACATGGCTGTAAGTGTGTGAGCACTACAGTTAAATACCCGTGGCTGCCCGTGTCAGCTAGGGGGCTGTTTAATGCACTGTAGACATTTGGGCTGGAGCCTGCACTCTGGGACCCTTTTCCATCCCGAGACAAAACATCTACGCCACAGTTAAACAGCCCCGTAGCCTGAGCCCCATAAGCCCATCTCAGCTGACATGGGCCAACAGCGGATGTTTAATTGCAGCATGGGCATGCCTTTTATGGTTCCCTGACCCTCCGGTCACTGGACACAGGCCTGGTACTGAGGAACATCATAGAGCAGCCTCAGGGCTGCCCTGAACTGTGCTGACTGTGACAGCCCCAAAGGAGTTGTCCTAGCAGCCTGGGATTGCAGGAGTGCAAGGGCGTTCCAGCCACACTCATTTCTCTCAGGCATCCCCCCAAGCTAGGGGCTTTGAGGACAGCGCTGTGCTGGCTTCACTCCCCTGCAGGATTCTTCTGCACAAGGAGAGTCCACAGCTGGACAATGAAGCCAGCTGTCTGGTTTCTATTCCTGGGGCAATGCAAAGTAGTCTTACTGGGGCTGAGCACATGGTTTTTAATGTCTTCCCCCCTCTTGTCTTTCCAGCACAGTTACTGAAGTATCACTAGCGTTGCCAGTAACTCAACTCACTCAGATCCACCACCAACTCCCCAAGCACACTGGGGGGTACAAGGTGCTATGGTCTCAGAGCTGTCCTAAAACCTTCTCACACTCCCCTTTGTCTGGTCCTGGCTTGTCCACTGGAATCTCTGATTTCAGGACCATTGGAAAGCCAGGACTTGCCAAACCTCAGCAGGCCAAGGTACATCCTGCTGGAGAACAGGCCTGTCTCACCCCTCTCTAAGCCAGTCAGAGGGAAAAGGCACCCAAAGGAGAAGAATGACTGAACACTAGACAGGCCAATCCCCATTGCCTGAAGTCCTGGGGGAGAGCTGAAGGTTTCAGGTAATGGGGGATTGGGTTATCGGGCCAGCAGGCTTTGATGTCTGTGTTCGGGGTCCCCTGGTGATAAAAAGCCAGCTGATTTCTCAGAGGCTCTGCAGCTCTGTGTAGGAGCTCTGCAGCTTCGGTCAAACCCTGGGGGACAGATCCAGCCTTTGGATAACTGAGAGTTTGGGGGAACTGGGATTTGGCTCGCCAGGACCCTCAGATGTCCCAGTACTGAGTGTGAGAGTAAGGCCTAGATAGAAAAAAAATAGGTAGGTGCGACTGTGATTCAAAAGGGGGCCATTGAGTGAAGAGCTGACGTGAGTTACTAAGGAGCCTCCCATCCTTTTCGTCTGATTGTTTATTAATTTGTATTCTGGGAGCACCTAGTAGGTGAAGCTCTTATCCCTTGTGGAGGAGGCAATGCCCATTGTACAAACAGGCTTTCTCTCCTGCTGCAGTGATCCGTTACAACAATGACCTGGTGCAGAAATACCACCCCTGCTTCTGGATTGACGGCCAGTACCTATGCTGCTCTCAGACAGCCAAAAACGCAATGGGTTGCCAGGTCCTGGAGAGCAGGAATGGAAGTAAGACACCACCTTGCACCCCCAGCCCATCCTCCATTCCCCTTCTCTGTGCTTCGGTTCCTCGCCCTGTCTCTGGAAGGCAGGTCCGGGTCACCTTCCGAGTGTCTCACCAGCCACTGACCCTGATGAGTTTTTCAGCTTCTTTTGCTTTGTTTCTTATCTTAAAGGTTTAAAGACCGGGTCTCATCGCAAGACAAAGAAGCCTCTTCCCCCGACCCCTGAGGAGGATCAGGTAGGAGAGGAGTGGCTGGGATCAGTACTAGTCACAGGGTGGTCTGTCCCCTTGGAGAGCAGTGGGGGACTGGGGCCAGCCATGCCTTTTCTAAGGCATTTCAGAACAGGTGGTTCCAGGATCACCAGGTGTGCCAGCCTGCTGAGCATTAGGAAGAGAGAGAGAGGCCAGCAGGAAGGCTCTCCTGTTCCAGGCTCCTGATGCTGGCAGGCTAGGGAAGACTAAGAGTGCTCAAGCAGAACCCCAAGGAGGAGGGCTGTGGAGCCCGTGTGGCAAGGGGAGGAGTTTGAGCCTAGGGGGGCAAGGAAAAGGCCTGGGGGAAGGTTGCACCTGGGGCCAGAGTGGGATTGGCAAGACCCCCCCTGCTGAGAGGGAACTGGGACCCTGGGGAGAGCTGAAGCCCTGAGCGAAGGAAGGCTTAGAGCTTGGACAGGCCAGAGGAACTGTACATATTTTGTAAGGACTCGATGAACAAGACCCCAAGAGGGGACATGCTGGTTTAACCCGTTCCTGGGTGCAGGTGAGTGCACTGGAGAAACATGCAGGGGGAGCTGAGATGAGACGAAGGCAGTGCCAGGCCCGGGGTAGCACGCTCAGGGACCCAACCCTAAAACTGCGCTCTGTACTGCATGCGGTGAGGGGCGGGACACTGGGCCCTCACTGTGTTCTGTGCTTCCCCACACCCTGGAAAGATGATGATGAAGCCATTGCCTCCCGAGCCATCTTCCAGCACTGCGAGTGAGCTGAAGAGGGTGGTGGCACTGTACGACTACCAGCCGATGAACGCCCAGGACTTGCAGCTGCAGAAGGGAGAGGAGTACTTCGTCCTGGAGGAGAGCAACCTGCCCTGGTGGAGAGCTCGGGACAAGAATGGGTAAGAGCCCCGGCGTGGATAGTGTGGGGGAGGGACCTAGCTCAGCCACACGTCACCCTGTACACTCACGATCCTGCACACACTTAGCCCCCTCCTGAGGGCACCTCCAGAGCATATGCACGCCCACGTACCCCTGCACGCAACTACATCCCCCACACGTGGTGGTGCCTCCCTCAGAATGGTGCAGGAGCCAATGGGGATCTGTCCCCTCTCCCAGCATCCTGCTCAATGAAAACTAAATGTAGGCAGCCTCTGCGCCCTGCAGACACATGCTGGCAGAGTCTGTGCTGGGGACAGCCCCCTCTGGGTGGGGTCACCCCAGGCCTGCTGCAGCTCCATGGCGCAGGCTAACAGTCTGTGCCAGCATCAGGGAGGGAGAGGCAGCTCATTCACTTGGTTCAGAGGAAGGAGGAGGACTGCAACGGACTGGCTGTGCATGCCCTTGGTACCGACCTGATCCAAAGCCCACTGGAGTCCATGGAGAGACACTCTTTGGCCCCAGTGGGCTTTAGTCTCTCTGTGGCCATTTTCCACCAGGAATCCTGGGTCTCCCTGCGCTCCCTAAGGAGAGGCTGATGGGTTCTCTCTTCTCCTGTAGGAGGCAAGGTTACATTCCCAATAACTACGTCACCGAAGCCAAGAATTCCCTGGAGATTTTTGAGTGAGTATGAGAAGCCGTGGGGCCAGCTGGGGATTTGGGCTTCATTGGACCTCTCTTTATTAAATAGTAGAGTTCAGCTTTTAACATCAGAGCCCCCTCTGCCCCAGAGAGGGGGCGGAGGGGGGGGCACTGGCTCTGCTGCTCCCATACCCTCTGCCCCACACAGAGCCCCAGAGCCTTTCATACCTACTGTGCTTTTGTCACAGGACTGCTTGAGGATACAGCACTGGAACATGGGGCTGGAGAACGGTGACTGCCTCTCGCACAACCAGGCCCTCTGCATAGGGTGACCATATTTCTTAAAGTAAAAACAGGACAGCCTGGGGCTCACCTGAGCACTTCCCTCTCCGTCCCCTCCCCTCGCACAGGGCTCGCAAGACCCACCCTCCTCACACCGCCCGCGGCTGGGGCTGACCTCCTGAGCTCCACACCACGCGGGTGGTCAGCTCTGAAGGCAGCGCTGCCTGCCAGCAGCAAATTTCTCTGCTCTCCTGCTGGTGGGCACTGCTGCCTTCAGCTGACCCCCCCAGACAGCAGCTGCTGCTCTCCTGCTCTGCCTTGCAGCCAGGACAAATGTGCAGTTTTGGTGAAAAAGTAGGGATGGCCGAGACAGAGCTGAAAAAGGGGACTGTCCCGGCCAAAACAGGACGTATGGTCACCCTACCTCTGTGTCACCAGTGAGCTGTGTGTCCACCCCCACCGTGCTTCCTGTCCAGGGGCCTCTCCCTGATCATGGCCATGTTCTCTTGTTCCAGGTGGTATTCAAAAAACATAACCCGGAGCCAAGCCGAGCAACTGTTGAAGCAAGAGGTGACTGAGACATCAGTGAAAATAAGCGACCTAGCTCTGCTGAGAGCCTTTCTCCACTGCAGTCCTTGCTGGGCTCTTCTCAGAGCCCAGATCCAATTCACTCCAGCAAGGAAAGCCATGCGTCACCTCCACAGCATGTTCTCTCTGCTCTGGGTCTTGCCCTCTGAACCCCAGCAGGTCACAGCAAAGCTGTCGTGTTCTGCTAGAAGCAGTGGAGCCTCACTGTCATCCCAGCTGAAAGGATCAGAGAAGTGCTGGCACTGGCTTGGCTAGTGATGCCATTTCAATAGGAATTAACATTATCTTGAGGCTGGGCCAGATCCCCAGCTGGTGTTGATCACGGTAGCTCCATGGAAGTCTGTGGGGTTGTGTCATTTTACAGCAGTCGAGGATCTGGCACGTGCATAGACTATAAAGCTGCTGCCTCCTTTGAGCTAGGCAGGGGTATGTTCCTAACACTAGGAGGCAGAGTAGATCCTGCTGTGGAATGGCTTTGCCAATCAGGCAGAGATGGATGGTCCCAGAGGGCTGCACTGCAGAGTCCACTAGCCCCAGCCCAGCCCAGGGTGGGACGGCCAAGGCCAAGAATCCAGTCAGAAGACAAAGCAAAATGAACCCAAGGGATCTACTCCAGCCTGAGGGCGAGGGAGAGCCTGTGCTGGGCTCCCCATTTGATTGTGGAGACGCTGCTCTCTTTTCACCCCGTTCCGGTGAGCTAGCTCCTCAGAACCCAGTTCACTTTAACCTTTGCCTGCCCATTCCCCCATGGAATGAGTACGAGAGTGTGTGGGGGGGGGGCGGAGGGGGAGGGGAGTGAAGTCTCTGGTTCCATCCCTTGTCTCCTCACAGACATCCATCCCTGTCCTCCATGCTGAATCCCCTCTCTCTGTGTTTCAGGGGAAAGAAGGAGGCTACATTGTCCGAGATTCCACCAGCAAGACAGGAAAATACACAGTCTCTGTGTTTGCCAAGTCCTCCGGGTAAGCATCATCCAAGGCTGTTTTCCTTTCATTAGACACAGCATGGGCAGCTGGCTCGTTTCTGTCCCGTTGCTGCCCCCGGCTCTGATGCACACTTTCCAGGCCCACCTCTCTCGCTAGCTGGCACCCCCCCCGCAGTCACTGACTCGGAATGTGATTGGCTCCACAGGGACCTGCAAGGAGTCATCCGCCATTACGTGGTGTGCTCCACGCCTCAGAATCAGTATTACCTGGCAGAAAAGCACCTCTTCAACACCATCCCGGAGCTCATCATGTACCATCAGCACAACTCTGCTGGTGAGTATGCAAGAGGAAAGAGGACATGGGCAGAGCAGACTTCTGTCAGCGTCCCATACCCTACACAGGCTCTGCATCTCCCTCTCCAGCAATGGGACCAGAAGGGGCTGAAGGCTCCCCTATCCAGCTGACCTCTGGCAGCAGGAGCCAAGGGAGAAACAGTTCATGGCATGATTTCCCCCCTCCCTATCGCTGGGGTCCCTAGAAGAACAGAAGCCCACAGGCATGATAAGAAACCACCTCTCAAAGAGGAGTTAGCAATTCAGAGGAGGGTGAAACAGTCCAAGCAAAGGCAGGATGAAACTCCACTTTTGCATTCAGTGGCACTACTGTGCGCAGAACAAGCATGCAGGGGCTGGTCTACTAGAACGCTCCCAGTGGCAGGGTGCCATCCCAGAGCACCCCCTTGTGGCACACCAAGACCCTGCTGGCATTCTCCCCGGATTCAGAAATAAACCGCTCACATCCAGAGCTTGAAACAATATTCCCTTTCTCCTGGAGTGTGATTTATTTGGTGTAATGAGAATCCTGCAAAAGACCTCCTGCTTAGTCTCAGGGTCTTCCCAGCCCTCCTTAGAGCTGAGAGGAGTTCCTGTCAGGCTCCTCCCTCTTGGCCCAGGACACCCACTGCCCTCTTTGTTGGGCAGTGCTCCTCAAGTCAGGCCAGCGGTAGCCAATGACATCCAACCAGTCCCCGGGTGGGGGGCCTCTTTTTACCTTAGTCCTTTTCCCTAGGGTGGGAGAACTCAGTAGGCAGCAACCTTCCCTTGCTAGTGTCTCTAGGCGTGCCTCTCCTTGGGAGCAGCCCTTCTCTGTAAGCCTGCAACCCTCCAACTGAACTCCTAGGGACTCGCTAGTCAATTGACTGCACAGGAGATTGGTTGGCAGCTAATTGCTTACAGGTGGCCTGAGGTGGGCTCACTTGGCTTAAAGACAGTAAGATTGGTCTGACTGCCCTTAAAGGGGCCAGCCACCCTGTGGCACCCCGTTTCTGAATGCTGTCACACTCTGGGCCCCAGGAAGCACAACAGGACAGGCAGCGCTGGAATTCAAAGCAAGGACTGTAGGTTTGTGCTGATGCAAGAATATCCTTGTCTTCTGGTGGATGCTGGAGTTGCATGTTCTTTTCTGGAATGTCAGGGGGTACATAGAGCAGGGATGTACCTCACTGTAACCCTTTGCTGTGTTTCAGGGCTCATCTCCAGACTGAAATACCCTGTGTCTCAACAACGAAAGAATGCCCCCTCCACAGCAGGACTGGGCTATGGTAATGCCCACTGTTCTTCCATATGTGTGTGATGGTATTGCCCGTTACCACTTGTGTCTGCCTTCAGTGCTACTGCACCATTCCCTGCAGTGACTTGCTGCTCTCCTGCCAGAGCTCTTAGAACATCCCCTACCAGCTTCCTTCCCTTCTAGGACAGGCAAGGGTTGGGGTGCCTGCGAGGGCTCCCTGCAATCAGTGCACCTGCACCTTTCCTGACAGCATCCCTTCTTATGCATATGTTTGTCCAGGTGAGTTACTTCCACATCATTGCCCATGCTGCTGTTTGTTACAGGGTCGTGGGAGATTGACCCGAAAGACCTGACTTTCCTGAAGGAGCTGGGTACTGGGCAGTTTGGAGTGGTGAAGCATGGGAAATGGAGAGGCCAGTTTGATGTGGCCATCAAGATGATCAGAGAGGGCTCCATGTCAGAGGATGAGTTCATTGAGGAAGCCAAAGTCATGATGTAAGTGGCAACAAATCCTGTTCGTCTCCTGTGGGATCTTTACTACAGAGATGTCTCATTTGGCCTTGCTACATCCTCAGAATTCATCCTCTAGGTTCATTCACTCCTGGTCATTCCCTGCACTGCTCCACCTATGGACACCAACACTGCCCTGGAGGAACCGCCCTGTTCTGCGATGAGAGGCCACTGCCATTCCCACCTCCATTTAGTACTGAGCTTCCCCCACACAATTTTGCCAGCAGATGCCAGTTTTGGAATGCTTGCCCTTGCCAGGATCTCGGTCTCCATGCTCCTAGCATCTCCCCAGCCGCTTTCTGAAGTTTAATTTCCTTTCTTGTCCTACAATGCAGGAACTTGTCACACGAGAAGCTGGTGCAACTGTATGGTGTCTGCACCAAGCAGCGCCCCATCTTTATTATCACTGAGTACATGGCCAAGGGCTGCCTCCTGAGCTACCTACGGGAAACCCGGGGGCGGTTCCAGCCTTCTGAGCTGCTGGAGATGTGCAAGGACGTCTGTGAGGCCATGGAGTACTTGGAATCCAAGCAGTTCCTGCACCGAGACCTGGTAGGGTCCGTAAGGAACATGATGAGTGACACATCTTGTGCTGTGAGAGTCACCGGGCGTCTTTAAAGAAGCCTTGGCTGAACTTACAGACACAAACCAAAAAATCTAGTTCTCCTCAGTGAAACTAATGGGTGGTGAATTGAGAACAAATAACAGGAAATGATTCTTCACTTAGGGTGTAATGACCCTGTGAGAGTCACTGATGCGGGAGGTCACAGTCATATCCTGGGGCTGGACAACTCAATGCCTGATTGTAGTTGTAGTTAGGTAGATTAAAGATGGGGAGGAAAATCAACTTCAAATCTCATGTTCTGGACAATTAGCAGATTGCTGCAGGGGTCAGCCAAGAATTTCCTCCCAGGAAGCGCCAAGGGGTTAGCATCCTTTGAAGGGTTCAGCTACTGCTGGAGAGGATCCTGGGTTGGAGGAACTAATGGACTGAGTCAGTGAAGCAAGTTCTACATATTCCTTTACATTGATTTGACCAGTTTGATTTGAGTCCATCTTGTTCATGAGCATGTAGAGGCAGCCATGCAGCCTTCTCTCTGCAAAGCATCTCTCTCACCCTCCTTTCCCTCCCAGAATATGAGTAGTGTGTACCATATGTACAGTCCAGCCCTCCTAAGCCTCTGCTCCTCTTGTGGTTTAGTAGAGAGACTGAAGAAAGCACAAGATTTTTCAACCACATTTTTGCCCACCTGGTGCTCTCAGCAAATAAGTAGGGCTGGAGGATCTCTCTGGTCTCAGGCAGTGGTAGACATTGCTTTAGGCAACACAGGCAGGATTCTCTTTGAGTCAAATGTCGTAGAAAAAAGAACAGACTCAGGCTGTGTCTACGTAGCTATGCCAGCGTAACCCCCTAGTATAGATGCATCCTACCCAGACAGAAGGGGTTTTGATATCAGTGTAGGGACACCACCTCTCCAAAGTTAGCTACATCAACGGAAGCATTCTTCTTCCATCAACAGAGTTGTGCCTACACTGGGAGTTAGGTCAGGGTTGTTTTTTTCACACCCCGGACCGATGTAACTATGTCTAACTATGTCAACCTAACTTTTAAGTGTAGGCCAAATCTCAGGACCCCATTTTTAAAAGCAGGACTCTCTTTTTACGTCTGAAATTTGCCGATGCAGTTAACATCACCTAGATGTCTGTCTGATTGGACCCTCATATCAGGTAGTTAAAGCTCTATTGTAACAGACCTGCAAATACCTGTGGGTGTGAAAATGAGAAAAATTATTGGCATCCCATAAACTACCATTGCAAAACCGAAGACAGCTTTAAAAGTCAGGGCCTCAGCACTTGAGAGATATTTGGGACAGAAGGCTGCAAATTTAATACAAGAGCTAAAATGAACCATTCAGCTGGGTAACATGTAAGCAGAATTTCCAGTTCTAATCCTGATGGTGGAGAGTTAGTTAAAGGACCTGGGAAGATGGTGAGTAGGGTTAATGCTGCTCATAAAATCTCCAACCTGGCCTGATCTACCTTGTAGCGATGCAGGAATGGTGTCAGCTGTGGTGTATCTGTATCTGCCAAGTCTTTCTGACATGTCTTGGGTGAAACACCAACTTCTGCTAAGCTCAGTCCTCTCCTCCCCATAGTTGGTGTGTCAGTAACATGACCTAGAGAATCTTAGTTCATGTTCCTCCATGACATGAGCTGCCATGGTGCTGTGGTTTGGCAACCAGTGCCTTCCTCTGAGCCCCTGGAGACCAAGGCAAGCCATTCTGTGCCAGGCACATTGTTTGGTATGGGGGATGGTCACTGCTGCAGTGATTCCCCCTCGAGGAAGGGCTTTGTGTATTTCATATGCCATATTCAATGCTGATACTATGACTCTTCCCATCTCTCTGCCTATAGGCTGCTCGCAACTGTTTGGTGAATGACCAAGGAATTGTGAAAGTATCCGATTTTGGCCTTTCCAGGTCAGTTTGCATGCATGCACATGCATCTCTCTTCCTTTCTCTTTCACACTTTTTCTCTGCATCTCTTTTATCTTCTTCATCCCTTTCTCACTCTCCTCCTCCTCCTCACCCTTGTTTTTCTTTTCTCCCATTTCTGCTGTATTCACCTGTCTTCATCCAAATCTCTCACCAAGCTTTTTCTCCCTTCTTCCTGTCTCTTCCCCTCTATCACTTGCTCCTCCACCCCATTCATCTCATCCATGTGTATTTTCCTCCCTCTCTGTCTCTGTCTTGTCTCTCCATTTTCTTTCAGGCTTGACTGGGTGCAGGAGAGGTTCATTAGATGAAAGAATGAATGAATGGGGAAAAAATGTGAAGCAACGTCACATAAAATGTGTATCTACTGCAGGTATGTCCTAGATGATGAATATACAAGCTCCATGGGGTCCAAATTTCCAGTCCGGTGGTCTCCCCCAGAGGTCCTTCTGTACAGCAAGTTCAGCAGCAAGTCTGACGTCTGGGCTTTTGGTAAGTTGAGAGGACAAAATTTCAAGTTGCTGACAAGGAAAGAGTGGTTGAATGGAGTCAGAGAGAATCAGATCCTCTAGGAAACTGCTTCAGATATGATCCTGTATTCTTTCTGCCCCATGAACTGTCCATGTGCATTTCTGTTTGACAGGGGTTCTGATGTGGGAGGTTTACTCCCTGGGAAAGATGCCCTATGAGAGGTTTAACAACAGTGAGACAACAGAACACGTAACCCAAGGACTGCGTCTCTATCGGCCTCAGCTGGCCTCAGAGAGAATCTATGCCATCATGTACAGCTGCTGGCATGAGGTAGGTCTTATTCCCACCAGTACACATTCTTCGTGTCTACCACAACCCATCTGCAAGTCTCCATAGTCATTCCATCCATTGGACCCAACATTGCTCAGTAAATGCCATCTGGTCCCGGGGGGAGATGGGGGGAGAGGCTTTTTATCTCAGGCCTGCTTTACACTTATAATTTATACAGTATAGCTGACTTGGTTAGGGGTATGATTTTTTTTTTACCAGCATGGCTAAATCAGCAAAATCCTTCTGGTATTCATAGATTCATAGATTCTAGGACTGGAAGGGACCTTGAGAGGTCA